GGAAAAACGGTAGTTTCACAAAATACTTTTTCTTAAAATTTCATTTTTGTATCCCTTAAGAAACGATAAATCCATATTTTTGTGTTGATTTCTTAATATAATTTTTAATTTTTCACAAATTACGTCTAAATTTTCACAAAATAGGTACCTGTCAGAAAAACCTAGACAGACCCCTGAGTACACAATTGTATGTCAACATATTATTTATTACCTTAAACTGTCTGGAATTTATTATTAAAGGGTTGCCCTTGTGTAAAATTTACTATCGTGGAAATTCAGCTTTTTTGCCTTTTGACTAATCTCATCCCTGATAATTGATAAAAATATTTAGAGAATAGAACAATAACAAAATAACATTTTTAAGAATACCCTGATATTTGAGGATGAATGAATTTAATAAATATATGGATTATATGCTGAGGAAGGGAAATATTCAGTTTTTTGAAAGTTTAGACTATTGGATGTTTGTTGCTTTCAAATAACATTGATGCTGAAAGATTGTTTGTTAAATACTTGTACTTATATCTAAATTTTCTACTAATTCAGCTTTTTTAAATTTATTGATTTAAGTTCAATTAGTTTTAAATTTAAAAAGATAAATAAATTTAAGTGTAAAAAAATTATGTAATCTATTAAAATGTGTTTGTGCTGTTAATTCACTTTTATTACGCTTAACAAATTGTGGTTTTAATTTAATTAATTTTGAATTCTATGTATACTTGTGTTCAGCAAATTTCTTTATCATTTCTTTAATTCACTTAATTTAAATTTTAGTGTTTGATGTTTCCTTTTTAATTTTAAATTTTCTAAATAGGAGTATGAAGATCTGACAAGCAAGCTCAATGAATTCCAGATTCAAGAGCAAAGATTGCTTGAGCAAATTGGAAATGACTGTGATGGTAGAGATTCTCCTGAATATTTTGATGATTCTGATGAAGCTAAACTTTATAGTGACACATTTCTAGCTAGGATGCAAATGAACTCAAATAATAGTCAAATGTTTTCAAGTAAGCAATGCTTTGCCCTTCTTTTTAATCATCCAATCTTATCACACAAATAAAAAATCAATTTTAGCATTCAAAATTATTACGCAAGTCAATTATAAATTTTATCATCCAGACTTACAATAAAGGATAAATTTTATCAGTGAATTATCAATTGAGACTTACAATAAAGGATAAATTTTATCAGCAACACTCCGGCTAAGGAGGGGACAGAAGAAACTTTGACGAGTCCAAATTCACTCACCTTCATGGAACTGGCATCGAAAAAGAAAAAAGAAGACAATGTTTCCTAGCTTGTACCCCACAAGCATCACTGGTACCAGAGCACCTGTCCAGGAGGTGCACTCAACATTCGGTGCAGCCGCAAGAACCAGACGGCGCTTACCAGCGGCCACTTTAAGTCTCTTTCTTTAGAGGGTAGTGTTAAAATCTTCCCAAACTGCCCTAGGTACCACAACATGCAGGCTTCTCCCCAACATATCCTGGACTGTCTTGGACTGCAATAGAGGGGCATTCTAGAAAACCCACTTTTGGTGGCCGACTTCCTCCGGGTCATGAATTTCATGGACATTGTTTAGCCTTGCTAATTTTGGGGATTAGGAAGATGAAGAAGAAGTGAAACTCATTACAGAATTAAAGGATCAATTTTGTCATTCAAACTCAAAGCACAAGTAAAGGATATTTGTGCTCCAGGAATGTTCTGCAGAAGATTTGCCATTAATATTATTGATTATATCCCTTAAAATAGTTCTTTTAATCAGTTAAAACATGCTGTTTCAAAGCCTCTTCCTCTGCAGAAAATCTAATTTCTGATGTCATGTCTTCGGATCCTCCTTAGGGTTGTTTCTTAGGCCGTCACCAATAGTCCATTGTGCAGCACTATTGCCATGAAAATAAAGTACTACTACTATTCCAGCATTTAATTTTTTTAGTATGGCATACGATTTTGTTTATTTTAGATGTAAGAAAATTATGTATTTGCTCCAAAAACAATGCCAATTTTGTTTACAATAAAATGGTTCTTCTACTCTCTGGTAATTGTTCTCCTATTTTAAGGTATTGATATTTTTTTTTTCTCTTTAGAGTGTGTTACAAATGCTTTGCTTAATGTGATGCAAAAGATTTGCCAATTTTGTTTACATACATTAAAATATTATTCTATTCACTCAGGGGTCTGTCCAGGCCGAATTTACTACCGTTTAGCGGTACCTTCACAAATTCAACTTTAGGAAAAACGGTAGTTTCACAAATTCAATTTTAAGAAAAAGGGTAGTTTCACAAAATACTTTTTCTTAAAATTTTATTTTTGTATCCCTTAAGAAACGATAAATCCACATTTTTACCATATTTTTGTATTGATTTTTTAAATATAATTTTTAATTTTTCACAAATTATGTCTAAATTCTCACAAAATAGGTACCTCTCAGAAAAACCTAGACAGACCCCTGTCACTGTAGGAACACTATTCCCACTTTCCAGCATCTAGCTTCTATTTTTTTTTTATTGTGACATAAAATTTTTTATACTATAGGTATATGAAACTTATGTTGCTATGAAAATATGCTGTAAAAGCTCTGCCAATTTTGATTGCATATCTTAAAATAGTTTAGCTATTGATTTGAAACATGGTGTTATAGCATTTAACTTTTCAATTGTTTAATTTTCTTTTTTTACTGATACCCACAATCTTTTTTACTTTAGATGCATGAAATTTAGCTTAAAAAGTTTTATTGCCAAAAATTTGGTTGAATTCGTGGCAGTAAATAAAAATAAGTACCTACTGTAGTTTGTCTACGGTAAGAACCCCCAACCCCAAAGTCTGCGGTGGTCTGCTGCTATGGAAGCAAGAATAATGCATTTGAGGGAGGGTAGCTTCTCTTCCTTCTAGGGCTGACGCAGTAGACAGTATAAAAATATTGCCTTTTTTTTCGGCGACCCGAGCCGAAACGTCTCCTAAGCAATGACCCCACACCCCTACTTGACATAGTTATATCTCATTACCATAGTCGCCGCCACGGATCCAGACGAATGGCATGGGGAGTTCTTACTTTAGACAAACTATACTATATTTATGTATGCTCAATTTGTCTCTAAAATCATATCAAATAGTTTTTAAACTAACATGTATTTTTTCTGAGTATAGCCATATCTGGTTTTTGTGTCATTATACTGTTTATTCAAATTTATCTACTTGTATTTTTAATTTGAAATTTGAAGATTGTTATTGAAATTGTAAATTTTTTTTTCTTGTGTTGAATGGTTATAGATATTCTCTCAGAAAGGTTGAAAATTCTTTTTTAATTTATTAGGTCTGGTATAAATACCACACTCTTTATATACTAATAAAATACTGTATGTTTGATTTTCTTAGGAAATGCGCCGGCAGATACAAGTCCAAGAATATCACCAAGGTCACCTTTGAAATCAGTGGTTAGAGCTTTTCTGCCAAATCAGCAGCGTACTACTGTAAGATTTCTTTTGTAGTTTCATATCATCAACATTAATAAAAATGGCTTATAATAAAAATGAGTGAAATAATGTTGTATTTTATATAGGTTCAAGTAAAACCTGGGCAAACTGTTAGAGAAGCACTGTATAAAGCAATGAGAAGACGGAAACTTACTGCAGATATGTGTGCTGTTTATAGAATTAATGGCAGGTTGGTATACTAACATTTTCTTAATTATAAGTGTTGTAAAACAAATGTTTATTAAAATAGAGAAAAAAAAAGAGAAATCATTAGTTATGATAACTTTCATTAGATATTAAGAAAATAAATATGCATGAAATCTATTAAGAGAATAATGGATAAATATCCTTTGTGTTTGTTACTTTAATTAGAAGTTTGCAAAAAGCCTATAACTGACTGCGACTAGGAAATAATACCAATTAGTGAGATCTGTTATTAGGAAAATAAGAATTTAAATTTTCTGTTAATTTTAATCTTGTCTTAGAGGAATTTTATGTGACAAAAAGTTTTTTAGTATTTGGTGTATTTTTTTTAATAAATTTTCTATTTAGAAATTCTATACATACTTAGAATTGACATTAATTTTTAAAATTTGTGGTTTTTTTTTAAATGTATTTTTAATCTTTTATCTCTAGAGTTGAAGTAAATTGGGATGATGACATAAGTACTTTAGAAGGAGAAGAAATATCTGTTGAAATTCATGATAGAATTCCTATTACAACAAGCATATCTCATAATTTTGTAAGTTTCTTATTATTATTCTTTGATATTTATTGTAAGCAGTTGATTGTTATTTTCTAATTTTCTCTTAAATGTGTTTCATTAATTTTTTTTCTATGTTGTAACTTTTTAGGTTCGTAAAACTTTCTTTACCCTTGCATTCTGTGAATGTTGTCGGCGTCTTTTGTTTCACGGTTTCAGATGTCAGACATGTGGGTATCGCTTTCACCAAAGATGTGCAAATGGTGTTCCTACTTTATGCCAACCTTCTCCTGTAGAAAATAATTATTATAGATAGTAAGTTGTACTTAATTTCTTTTCAAAAAGCAGTTTTATGGTTATGAATGTTTGTTATGTTTAGCTTTATTTTTTAACTTTACTATAGAAGACTGGTCTAAACTAAGTAAATTTAATCTTGTATAAAATGTTTTTTAACCTTTGTATGAATAATTTTCATAACAAATTTTCTATTATACGTTTCATTGTTAGCATGAACCTGTTACTTTAAATAAACATAAATCTGAAATTTATATTAGTTTTCTTATGCGTCTTATAAAGGAAAGATTTTTTAAAATTTTTTTGTTTGTTTTTAAATTGAAATATCAAGATTTAACACTTTTTACACCTGGAATTTGTACTTTTATGTTTCGGAGTTTTAATGCTGTAGTTTTAATGCTTTTTTATCTCCAAAGTATATTGAAACTGGTTTTAAAAAGGTTTTAAATATTTTTATGCTTGTTATGTGACCATTCCATAGCCACATATGGCCACTGGGCTGCAGGATATGCACTCTTATTATAGGTCATTTTATTAATGAGTGTCAAAATATGATATTTTCACATGCCAATCTTTATGTTTCTATTGTTCCCTGAACTAGAAAGTGATCAAAATTTGTGACATATATTGCAGAACAATTAATGTCTGTGCAAAACATTTTTTTTTTCGAAGTAGAACTTTTACACACGTGTCCTTGTAAAACAATTTATGCATATGCCCTAGTTGCATTGAAAATTTTGTATGCTGCTTGAATTTTTTTTTTATTAAGCAGACATTTCAATTTCACTGGCTGGGGAAACTTTTTAGTAGTTTTCATTTACAATATACTATTATTTAAAAAATTATGATACTTTAAATATTTAGAGTTGATTGCCAGAGTCATGATAAGTTGAAGTAAGTAGGGCAATTGCCATGACTCTGTGGGCACCTGAGCATTTAGGTTTTAAAAAAAAAATATAAGTTTTTATCTTGAAATTAAAAAAATTTTCTTTTGAATTTTAATCTTATTAGATATTAGCATTGTAATGTCCGCTGAAGGCAGTGATTTTTGAACTTGTAGATTCTCTGTGCTAGAAACCAAAATTATAGAATTAGAGAATGAGATGTATTATAACATTTTTTAATAATTATTTCAACAAGACCTTCAAACACAAAACTTTGGCACTTCTAATATATTTTGAACAGTAGTATATATTTTGAATTAAAAAAAAAAGTTAAGTGTTTCATTCTTAATAATTATATTTGAATGGAAAAAAGAAAGCCCCAAAAAATTTTTCCTCCTAATTTTGAGCGAAAATCTAACAGGGTCATAAGCGATAAATTTTCCTAGGGACCCCTCAGAACAAGAACTTTCAAAATCTAGCAACATTACCGCTAATCGTTTATTTTCAACAATACAGATTTATTTTCTACAATATGTAAAACATTTGTAATTATTGTCTTATTGGAGAACATTAAAAAAAACTCTGTTTCTGGGCCCTTGACTTAAATAAAATATGATATTTAATTAGTATATCTTGATAACTTGTCTAAAATGGCAAGTTTGCATGTAAAAATCAAATTATTAGATTAACAGATATATTTGATGTTTTTTTGTTTGTTTCACCTCAAAATTTTATTTAAATATGCAAATCTTTTCAGTGGTCACTTTTAAAAGGATCTTATTTTTCTTTTCTTCTAATATTTTCTTCAAGAATGTAATATTGAAAATATAATTGAGTATTCAAGTATATAATATATATTCGAGTATATAATTGATAATATTTTAATATTTATATGAATTTTGTATTTAACATGGTTTTGTTTCTTCATAAAACAATGAAATATTTTATATTTTATGTTGTTTAGTTGGTCCAGAAATAAACCTTTAAGAATTCTGACTTTTTGAAATTTTAACTCAGAAACTGTTAAATAGATTTCATTCAAATTTTGTATTTTTTTTTTTTTTTAAAATTTAAAACTACGTATATGGTTTTAAATTATGCAAAAATATGTATAGCTTATTATTTTCGTCCATTCAATAATAATAATTTCTATTTAATTCCATTCAATTATTTAATTTCAATTTATAATGATTGAAAATAACGAAAAAAAACTACAATTTTTTTTCCACATGGAATTATCTTTGTATAAACAAGCTTTGTCATTATGTGCAAAAGGATTTAGATTTCCTATAAAAAATACAAAGATATAGCAAAATATGTATAAAGCGAAGTTTAACACAATACAGGACCCTAATTTATGACCACATAACTGACTTAACTATTGGGAACAAATTACATCCATTTCCCATATTTTGTAAGTCAAGAATCCAAGTTAGACAAAAAAGAAAGTTATGTTTATTTACATGGAAAGTGCATTTATGTGTCTGATTTCATAACTTTATTTATAGTTAGAATAAATTATTCGGAACCATCAATTAGAATTTTTTTTTTTTTTTTTTTAAAGCTTATTGGCATCTAACAACTATCTTACAAGTGGAGCACAGCAAGGTCAGGACTTGACTTATACAAACCAGTATTTCTATCCTCAACAACCATCAGCGTCATCACCTCAAAATGTTCCCAGGCCCCATCCACCTCCTCTGGGTCAGAGAGAACGCTCTACATCTGCCCCTAATGTGTGTTATAATATGGTTAACCAAAATGATATGACATTAGAGGTAAAGGATAATTCTATTTTGCTTTTAGTAATTAAAGTTTTTATTCAAATGTAATCTTTTAAAATTTTGAAGTTTTTAATTTTACAACTGTAAATGCCATATTTATATAGTAAAGTAAGAAATTTGCTTTACAAAATGTAATCAAAGTTTTAACTCATATGAATTGTTAATTGCAAAGTGTAATTTTTATTCGATATAGCAATTAGATGTGAAAAAAACTAAGAGTAGATTTACCTTTTTTTACTGTGTTTAAAAATAATGGCAATTTTCGTCTAATCCGCTTGAAATAAAAGTCTATTAATTTATTAGGAGTTAAATTAATATTAAGTCATTGTGCTATCAGTTAATAGTTAGGAATATTTGAATAGTTAGGATTGACTTAATTACAATGAGAGATTTGCAAATAAAAAATATAGAAATGCCAAAATTGAAATATTATTTTAAAATAAGTTATTATTTAGTAGCAAAAAATTTTACTAAAAGCTGATTTTAATGTTATGACTAAAAAAGACAAACAAATAAAAAATGTATACATAATTATATAAAAACATATAAAATGTGTAAACATATAAAATACATAACATACTAAACTGAAAAAAAAAAACTACCATTTTGTTTTAGTTGTGAAAAAACTTAGAGTAATTTCACCTTTTTTATTTTGTTTAAAAATAATGGCAATTTTTGCCTTATTGGTTTGCTATAAAGGTGTATTTAATTAATTAGTATTAATGTATTAAAAAGTCATTATGCTATCAATTAACATATTTGAAGAGATTGGATTGACTTAATTGCATTTATTAGAGATTAGTAAATAAAAAAAGATATTGCTGAAATACTACAATTCAAATATTATATTAAAATCTGTTATTAAGTAGCCAAAAATACTGTAAGAATCAGTTGTAACTATAAAAAGAAACATATAAAATCTATAATTGTATAAAAGTATATGGATTACATTAGGATCTGCATCAATCCAGAATAAAACTGATATTTCACTTAACACAATTGCTTTCTGAAAGTATTTGCTTTGTTACTGGAAAACAAAAAATTAGATCACAAACAATCAGATGATGAAAACATACTATTAATTATTTTTATTCCAGGTAAGAAAAATGTATTCTTCAGAAAAAAATACTAACATTCATATGCAATTCAGCTTCAGGTACATTGAAAATTCGATGAGTAGATGTGCTTAAATAAAGTTTAAAAACTAAATGTTTTTGGCATCATACAGATTCTTGGCTTCATTATAAATGCTTGTTTCCAGCATTATCCTTAGTTAGAAATTGTGGCTTTACTTTAAAAAGAAAATTGAATTCTTCGACTGTTTTTTCTCTGATTCTGTTTTAAATATTTGGTATCCACTCTAATGTAATGTCCCTTGCTCCTTCAAATCTAGAAAAGTCCAGTCACGTTAAGAGTGTTAGAGAGTATGATGAAGAGGCTAGCGAAAACTATTTTCCTTCCAATCTAAATTGTGTTAATATAGTGTGCTCATGTGCTAGTATAGTCTTCAGATCATCATTACAAATAAATCCAAGATTATCGTCATTACCCCATTAGTTTAGCTTTAATCTGATATTAACAACCAAACCCATGGCCTGATTTATCTTAAGCCCCAGGTCTAGACCTCCACATTTCTGGGGGGCTGCTAAATGTTACAAATATATTCTATTGTGTTTTTCCTTAAGAATTGTCTATCAAAAATAAAAGTTAACAAAATTGAAATAAGTATAACCTTAAATTTACTTATGTAGCGTAATTTACTTATGTTATAAATAATTAAAAAAAACTCTTCATAATTAAACAACATGTAAATATGGTATAAAGTAACAACCGGACGACCCCCTGACAGTTCCATAGCTGCCAACTGTCCCGAATTTTTCAGATTTGTTCCTAATTTTTAAATCAAATCTGATATTTTTATAAAAAATCCGAATTTTTGTAAAATTGCAATATTTTTGCTTTCAAACCAATCCCTTGTTCTGATCGCCGCAATTGTGATTATTGTGCAGAGGTAATTTTTAGTAGCTTTCTATTGGAAAATACTATTCCAATAGCTGTTGCTGATTATTTCACTAAATTGAATCTTAAACAACTATTATTATTTTTTTAAAAATGTATTGTAGTATTTAAACATTTGTATCAGAAATATTTGTTTATGATTTAGTTTAATATTTACCTGTGTTTTATAATTTTGAGAAGAATAATTATATATTAGGTAATGGTTACTTCTTTAACTATTATACCGGTATTCCTAATTATAAAATATTAATATCATAAGTTTCCCACAAAAGATAGTGTTTACAGTTTTTTTTACTAATTTACATAAGGTATTTAAATATATGTCTATTAATGTTATTATTTAATAATTTAATTTTTGTCTTACTCTCGTAATTGGTGCGTATAATTATGTCGCATATAGTGTTCCTAATTTTTTATTCCTAAGGTTGGCAGCTATGTAGTTCTGTGTCTTGGGCCCCCGCTGTCCTAGATCAGTCCTTGATCAAACCAATTTCTTTTTTAATTCACTTGAAAAATATAGTTTTTAAAGCTTTTTTATATTTTATTGTAATTTTAATGAATGTTTTATTTTAAACTGTTGCTTTTTTGCTATCATGAAAAGTGTATGAAATGGTAGTTTTTTGAATAAATATTGAATTTTAATTATAGTAATTTCTAGATTACTATAGCCCTCATAAATTGTAGTTAAAAATCCTATGCTCTTTTATTGCAGGAATTTTCTTCTAGGCTGAGAGCTCAGGGTGCTTCAGGTAATTATTTTCTTAAATTTATTGCTTTTAATAATTATTTTTTGTTTTCTACAGTCACATTTCATAATTGTTGAGTGCAGAATTTTCTTATGAGTTAAAAAAAAAATTACATTTTAGCTGTAGAAAATATTACAATCAATTTGTTACTATTTGAAACTTGTTTATGAATTCACATTATAACTTATGCATAGGTTTTTATTATTTAGTATATTATTATATATGTTCTAAAGAATTGTAATAAATTAGTAAATGCGTCAATTATTAAATACGTTATTAATGGATCCCAATTTAGTTATTAATGGATTTTTCTGCAATTATTGATTGAATAGAAATGTTTCATAATGATTTAGTGAATGATAATCATTCAATCAAAATTTCACCCTGCCTCTGACATGACTCAATATTGAAAATATCAGAGTTTTAAAGAATCTTTTTTCAAATTTAAAATAAAATATTATTTTTTTTAATAATTATTTTTTTTGAAAAATTGAAATCCAAATATTGAAACTCTTTCAAGTGAGCTTTTATTTAAAAATAATTCTTTTGATTTGATTCTTGGATAATTAGGTAAAAATACAGAGTAGAAGAGCAATAAAAAGCTTAAATAAATGAGTGTTGAATTTGTTATGTTTATATTTATCTGCAGCTTAGTATAATTTGAATTATATTTAACTAATATTCTTTTTTCATCTACAACTGGTATTTTTTCTTCTTTAATTTAATAAGCTTCTTTGTTATTAGGTAACACCGGTTTAGGAATTTCTAGTGCTTACTACCATAATGCAGCTACTGTTGCTAGTTATAGTCCAAGCTCTAGTCCAACCAGAACACAAAGTGCCCAAGGTTCCCCAACAAATAGTCATAAACCATGGAGACCACGAGCTCGTTCTGCTGATGAAAGTACTCGTAAAATTGTAAGTGTTACTAAGTTGATGGATGTTAAAAAATTAATTTAAAATTTTGTTGTATGGTTAAATTTTAAAATAACACATGACTTTTAAGTTAAAAGAATATTTGAGATCAACTGTAACCAAACCAGTTTTTTTAAACTAGCATATATATAAATATTTTTTTTTGTCATTTTGCAGAGACCTCCTCGAGAATCCATTGAAGATTGGGAAATTCCTGCAAATGAAATTCAAACAGAGCATAGGATTGGAGCTGGTTCTTTTGGAACTGTTCATAAAGGCCACTGGCATGGTATTACTTATTCTTTTTTAATCTATTTCAATCTTTTACATTTTTTGTACATTGATAAGATAAATCTGAAAAATTTATCCAATCAATTTATGCCATCAATAAAAATCAGGAATTTTTTTTCTTGAGTGTTTGTGGCCTGCACTTGAAAGCTACTGATACAGCACCCTGTTATTAAAAAAAAAATTATGACAACATTTGTTAAGTATGTATGGAATATGGATGAGTTTTTAATCTTTCTTTAAAAAAGATTTGTTTATGTACTCATATTGTCTGATACCTGACTGCTATTTATTAGTTTTGAAATCTTTATTTTTAGAAAGAAAATACTTTTTGATTTATATTGTCATGAATGCAAAAGAATTCTATAGTGAAGTTTATTTTTCCCTCTTTCTCTCTTTTTATTTTTTTTTTTCTAAAAGTAAATTTTTTCTTAAAATACACTGTTTTATGTAATTTCTCTTCTTTACTTCTTAATTTAAAAAAGCGAGGAATAATTTAGTTGAAAATTAATAAGCAATTAATTTTTTTTAACAGCATTTGTGTTTGATTTATCATATTATAGTATAAAGTTGTTACCCAAGGAATTTCGCTAATTGTAGCTTTTCTGAAGTAGTAATTGCTTAGACAAATACAGCAAAATATACAGATTTCATTATATTGTTATAAAATTATGATCATTGTTGTATGCATCAGTTCTAAAGAGATTAAAATTAATTCTCAATTTTTGAAATTGAAATTACTTATGGATAGATAGAAAGAACTATTATAATAAATATTTGAATCTTTAGCAATGAATACTTTGAATAATTAACATTCATTCGCTAGTATTTATCATCTAAAATTGTTAATTTATATAATTTTTTTATTATTTCTTTTTAGTAAATCATTTGTTTAAAGCAGTAGAAAAATTTCTGGTTTTCATTTTTATGAGCTTATATACGAATGTAATTTTTTAAATGTTTGACATTTTGCTCAGTAAATAATTATTTTATTATTTAGGACCTGTGGCACTGAAGAAACTGAATGTCACCAATCCAACGCCTGCTCAACTACAAGCATTCAAAAATGAAGTCGCAGTATTAAGGTATTTATTTTATTTTATGTTGGTTTTCTATGTAGTGTATGTGGGGAACAGTTTTTTTAAAAATATTTTGTGAATTTTTGAAAACATTCTGAATTTTATTGTAATTCGGAAATAGTATTTGAGTTAGAACATGAAATTCAGGTACTAAATATTGAAAAAGAAATCTACAAGACTTCTTGGTCCTTAACTATACAAATTTAATTTGATTAATGGGTATCAATCAATTTATGGATAAATCTTAAAATTATCTTCATCATCATTAGTACGACCGCCCAGAGTAGGCCTTGGCCTTCTCTAGAACATTTCTCCGTTTCATTCTATTTGTAACCAGGTCTTCCCAGTTTATTACTTTGATTGTTTTAAAATCCATGTGGAATGAGTCCAGCCATTAAAATTTTGGACTTCCTCTAACTCTGCTAGCGATTGGTTTAGGTTTGAAAATCTTTTGTGTTGGGCTAGTCGTAATGTACACTGCAAATCGCATTTTGTTTAATTTTATGAATTTTATTACATCAATATCCTTAGAAATGTTTTAAAGTTCTATGCTTGTGTTAGAACTGTCTTATAAAGTATAATTCTGGAGAATAAGAATTAAAATACTCATTTTATTAACAGTAAACATAGCAATACTTTAACAATACAGTACAACATACAGTTACTGGCCTTTTGACGGGTTATGGTATGTTTAGTGTTAATAAACATGTTTAAAACAATCTATTAAACACACACTGTAGAAACAGATCAAAATTTTGCTTAATTCCATCTGGCTTCAGAAGGTGTGTTATTTACACTGGATTTACCATTTATATTGCAGAATATAAAAGTCTTCTAATATTTGTAAATTTGTATATTAATTGTATTTTTTCTGTATAATAATTGTATCTTTTGATAAGAATTAATGTACATCTTGTGAAATGTTTTAAAAATATTTCAGGAAAACTCGGCATGTAAATATTTTATTATTCATGGGTTATGTGTCCCAGCCTCAATTAACAATAGTTACTCAATGGTGTGAAGGATCAACACTATACAAACATCTTCACGTTCATGAACATAAGTTTGAAATGTTGGATTTAATAGATATTGCCAGGCAGACTGCTCAAGGCATGGAGTGAGTACAGTTTGGTTTTGCTGATTATTAATGGTTTATTTCCCTAGTAATTTTTCTCGTTTGATGTTATATGACTTAACATTTAATGTCTATGATTAGATAATTATATATCCTGTATGTTATTTTAAAGACTATGCCTACGTATCTTATGTATCAATAGTATTTCTCAAAACACTTTATTTCAATCATACAAATTTGTTCATTATTTAAAATGAATATTAAATGCAAATCTCTTTGAATATATTTGTGCTATATTTCTTCAAGGGTGAAAGTTTTTAGTCTTATAACAGATTTCTGTTATTTTGAAAAAATTCAAAGCCAACTGAGATCACCAAAATAAAAATTAAAAAATTTAAAATGTAAAAGAAAAAGTGTGTAACTCTAATTTTGGTAAGATAATTTTTGTCTTGTGTGTGAACTGCATGTATAACTTAAGAAATTACTTTTATTTACTAGTTAGGGATTAAATTTTTTTTAAATTTAAAATATTATGTAATAATTTTATTTTAACATGTGTATATATACAGTCGGACCTCTATTTAACGAAGTCGCTAAATCCCGCTAATAAGTTCGTTATATGGAAAATTGCTTTAAATAGAAAATTGCTTTAAATAGAAAATCACCTTTTGAAATACCTATACCACCAAAACAGGATTTAAATTCATAAACACTAGACATAATTGAAATAACAATGGATACATGTATAGCAAGAATAGAACAAAACATTAACAAGTGTTACACTATCATGCTACATGCATTTTTAACTAAAAAAGCTAAATTTATGTATTAACTTATAGCTGCATTTATTATAAAAGTAATTTCAAACATACATTACCTCACGCGATCTTAAGTTTAATTGCTACTGATAAAATTCGTTAATTTTTTCTAAATTTTTCGTTTGAAATGCAAACAAAAAGGGATTTTACTGCTTTCTCTTAAAGTTAATTGGCTTTGAAAATCAATTCAATTTCATTTCATAATGCATTAACAAGTTTGAGATGTTCTGAAATATTTTGGGAAATGGGGAAAGTGGATCTCAAAGAAAAGTTCGTTAAATAGAAGTCCGACTGTATATATATATAAACAATCTTTAATCTCCAAGAAACTCAGAATTTTTTATTTAAATTGTTTTTTCTATTCGTTTATTTATACTCCTTATTTATATTAGAGAGTAAACTAAACTACATTATCTGAGAATTCTTATGGAAAGTGAGATTTTTTGAGATAATTCTATTTTTATGTCATCATAGGCCATTCTCTATTTTTCAGACCAGATTTCGTTCAGATATTTTGAAGTTTAAAGCTTCACTTTTAATATTTTATTAATTTAAATACTTAAGACTCAATCTCATTTTCTGTGTTAAAACTTTAGTTTTACGAATTTTAGCAACATCCCTTGTATTTGTTATAATGAGAGTAACAAGGCCCTTAAGTTATCTTTTACTTAAAATTTTAGCATTTATTAGAAATAAGATTTTTTTAAAGTAAATAAGCACTTAATTAGCTATAGTTGTCTTAAAATTCAGTTTACCTATTGTGTGTGCAACTGAAATTTAGACTGCTTTTATGATTTTTGAGATATATAGTTTTGAGATTTGTAAATTAAATTTATCAAAAGAATATGCATATTTAGTTCATTTTCAAGTATGTAATTATATAATAGTAAAATGTAATGATTACGTCACATGAAATTCTGATGGTGATACGAAAATTAATCATGAAACCATTTATAAGTTGGCCTGCCTTCTATTTTTTAAAAAATATGTAAATTTTTATAAATTATGTCGAGACTACTACTAATATTTATTTGGAAACATAAAAATTCTTAAATCCATTTAAATATAAGTCACCTAGTTCTAGTACTAAGTGCTTTTCAGGTTTTTATTTTTTTTATTTTTTTATATTTTTTTTTTTTTACTTCAAATGAAAATAACTTTTAGCCAAGTTATTTTCACTTTCAGTAAAAACTCAAAGTGGAACTATACTTTTTGTCTGCCCGCAGTAGAATCTGACTAGTTCATAAAAATGATTATTTATACTTTATTATTAGCAAGGATTAAAACATTTACAATATTGCATTTGAATCTGTCATTTATTTTGTGACTCTCTTTATATTCATTGTTACTGTTACTTCCTTTAGTAGTTTGTAAAAATTTAAATAAAACACAACAGAACATAATTTATTTCCTTTCTGTATCAGTGTCTATTTTTAAAAGATGTTAATTATATTTTATTCCTTAACTACTACAAATATATAAACTATAAACTACAGCAAAATATTTTTAGTAGTTAATTTGGATCTTTTAGTTATTTATTTTGTGATTTCATTTATATTGTTACTGCTACTTTTTTTTTAAAACTAAATTAGTAATGATATGTTATATATTTATTTATTTGAGTTATACAATTGTTACTTGAAACATAATTTAAATACTGTTATTTCTTTCAGTTATCTTCATGCGAAGAACATTATTCATAGGGATTTAAAATCAAATAGTATCCTTTTGTTTCAATTTGTATTTCTTTAAAACCTTATTGGGCTAAAGGAAGCAATTAACATTTTTATTCGTAAAGAAATGTTCACACTTTTTAGTTTAATAATTATTTTTATATGATGATTGTATTATTGAATTTTCATGTTAGATAAATTACTATGAGTATTTTAAATTTAGACTAATAGTATTCATGTTATATATTGGGGGGAAATTCAGGTTTTTAAAGCAGCAGCAATATTGAGAATTCTGTGAAGAGTCAGAAGAAAATGTAATTTTCCCCCAAAATCTGAAATTGCCATGCAATTTTTCATTCTGTCAAATTTTGTAAAAAGCACAAAGTTTCATTCTTTTGTTGGCAGTTATTGGAAATAATTCAAAAGTAATTAGATTAATGGAACAGTAGACAATCACTTGGTAGAGAATCAAGATTCTTCTTTTGTGTTTCAGCATTTCCAGAGATGAAAAACAGCAATGGATACTAATGGTTTAAAAAACTCAAAGTTTTGTTTTCACATTTGAAGACACACATTTTAAAAACAGAAATAGAGCACAGTGAATTACAGCCTTATCAACTGTCCCACATTTTACAATCATGATTTCTTATTGTATTTCTTGCTATCCAGAATCGAGTCAAAATCGATTTGCTTTTCCTCAAATGAAAATTTTGTTATCTTTCTCCAGTGATAAGGCCAATTCCTTTCCACCGTGTTTGTGTACTATTTTATATGTAGATCAGTACCGTAATACTTAAACATGGGTATCGTTTGCCAATCAAGTTTTTATCTGGGTTTAAAACTGTCAATGACAAAGTCTCATCACTTCATAATTTTCCTTGCACTTTTTAAATAATGAAGATAAAAATTAATGAAAATGAATTCACTTAATTAGAATTAAGGGATTGTCCATTTAGGGTTCAAAATATTAAAGAATTCTTCTCTATCTTACAGGATTTGTGCTTTTTGGAAATTTCAGCACTCTTAAGCATTTTATGAAAAAATCATTTAATACCCCTATTGTATTTTAAGCTTACTGTTAATTAAAAATGCTCACTTCTCTTTTGATTAATTGTAATTTCATTTAATGCATAGGCACCAAATAAGTTGAATTAAATATTTCTTTTAGTTAACTCGCCATTAAAACCTTATTAGACTAAATGAAGCAATTAACATTTTTATTCATGAAGAAATGTTCACACCTTTTAGTTTGATACTGATTTTTATGTCATATTTGTATTTATGCTGGAAAAATTACTATTAGTATTTTAAATTTAGGTATTCGTGTTAATTTTTGAATAACAGTATTCATGTTAATTTTTGAAGAATAATTTGGATTCCTTTATTGTATTTTGTTTAATAAGTTAGCAGTTAGTTTAAAATGCTCATTTTTTTGAGGAAATATAATTTCAATTAATGCAGTTGCATATATTTTGGAAAAAAATAGAAACATTTATTTAATTTTTTTTCTTGAATTGAGGATTTTAGTTAACTGATTTACAGAAAGTGCATCAAAAATAGTCTAAGTACTTAGCTGTTTGTGACATATTTAAGAAATAAAGAAATAAATAAAAAACAATTTGTGTGCAGATTTCTTTAATAAAAATTTTAGATATCTTTTTACATGAAGATTTAACAACTGTGAAAATAGGTGATTTTGGTCTAGCAACTGTGAAAACAAGATGGAGTGGTTCCCAACAGTTTCACCAACCAACTGGCTCTATATTATGGATGGTTTGTATACTTTATAAATTTTGATCTAATAATTATTTTTTAATTTGATAAAAAAAAATTTATGTTTTATACATATCAAATTTTATAGCATATATATTTATCATTGTATTTTTTTTAAGCTCTTTATTGAAAAAAAGGTTAACTACATAAAATAAAAGTTTTCTTTGGCAATCTTAAATAGAATAATTACTAGTACTTAACAATATAGGAAACTTAAAATTGCAATACACAGTGTTACTTCCCCAATTAAACTATTTTACATTAAGTAATATTTTCCTTACCCAAATTAAATTAATGTTAATGATGATAATGTATTTGGAAATTATCTTATTAATGAAACTTACAATATAATTTTATTTAATATTTAAAGTTTCTAATATTGTCATAAATTATTCTTAATATGATCTCTTAATTATTGTATATTTCATATTCTCTGCAAAAATGGTATTTATGATAAATCGTGCAAAAATTTTTTCTTAAAAGATTTTTTTTATTAAAAAAAGTACTAAAATTTAAAATTGTCCAGGAAGATTGTTTCTTCNTTTTTTTTTTTTTTTTTTTTTTTTTTTTTTTTTTTTTTTTGAAGTTGCCGGCTTATAAAATCAAACACGACACTACCAAATTTATAACTTCTAAAAAAAGTATTACTAATAGTGATAAAGTCTTATGAATAAATTTTACTTTGCTCATTGCAACTTTATTTTTTTCTTTCTCTAGGCACCTGAAGTTATTAGGATGAAAGATCTGAATCCATACTCTTTTCAGTCAGATGTTTATGCTTTTGGTATTGTCCTGTATGAGCTAGTAGCAGGACAACTGCCATATTCACATATTAATAATAAAGACCAAGTAAGTATATTTCCATGGTTAAAACCATTCTTTGCTAAGTAGTATTTAATTATGGTATTTGTTGTGACAAATTTAGTTATATGTTTGAATGCACTGAATATTTAAAAGTTATTCTTTAAATATTGACATTGTCTCTAATGAATACTTATTGACATATTGTCTCTTTGTTATACTATCAGCAATTATTGTCTTGGGACACATAAAAGCTTTTGTCAAAATTTAAAAAGTTTGTTTTTTCTCATTAATTAAATATTTCAGCTTGTCTGGTGGTTATCCAAACAGTCATCCTATATCTTTTAAAAACTTTAATTTTTTTAAAATTCAGTGTAAAATAATATCTATATTTATTTACATAGCTAAGAGATGAATTTCGTTAATACTATATCTTCTAAAATATTTGTTAGGAAGAAAATGATAAGATTTTTTAGATTGTGTTTTATAAATATTATATACTAAGCCAGGTAATAAATTCAAATTTTTTCTTGTACCCAGAACTGTTCGAGAAAAGATTAAATTTTTACCTGTACCTAAGTGTCTGGAAAAATTTAGGACCTGTTACATCTGCCTATACTTTCTGTTTATTAATAGTTCTAAAAATGCATTGTAAATTCTGAGAATTATATTTTTCTCATAAATTTAACACCAATGTATTTTAAAATTATTTTAATTTATCCGATTTAGATGCATAGTCTCTTTTTAATATTAGTTTTATAATTTGTTTTTTCTTTTGACATAAATTGATCAAAAATGATTTTCAAGGGCATTCAGATTTAAACTGTTTATGCACGTGAACTTTTTCAAATGATTCAAAAAATGTATAATAAGTACTTAGGGATTATTTTTAATACTTAAATTTGAAAAAAGTTATTTTTCGCTTTTAAAAATGTATCATTCTCAGCATGTTTTGAGTATTTTGGTGATATTGCTGCTTTCTTTTTAATCTCAAAATTGTGCATGTTTTTTTAATTTGTTTGTTTCATGTTTAACTCTAAAGAATTTTATTAAAGATGTTTAGAAGTAAAGTGTAACTGGTGTTTAATTTTCATCAATAAATTAATTCATTGTTTTATAAATAAGGCTATAAGAATGCTTTTTTCTTCCAATATCACTTAGTTTTAGATAATATTTTATAAAAAGTGTGTTTCAAATGTTATAGATTTTTTCATTCTACTAAAACAAAATGCTTTAAGCCAGTTTTTTTCCTACCACTATTTCTTTTGTGTAGTTATTCTGTAATAAACTTAGCTTAAAATTATTTGTTGTATTTTATTTATTATTAATTAAAAATGAAACTTTTCTTCAGATCCTTTTTATGGTTGGCCATGGGTATTTGATACCAGACCTTAGGAATACTCGATCAGATACACCTAAAGCTCTCATTAGACTAATTGAAGATTGCATTAAGTTTTCTAGAGAAGAGCGTCCTCTTTTCAGACAAGTAAGTCTCCTCATTTACTATTTATCTACTTTTGTTTAGTTAAGTTTGCTTACGTTTTATTTTACTATAATAAGTTTATTTTGAGACGTGGTGGCTCAGGGGATAGAACGTTTGAATCATCTTTATTTAAATTTCACAAATAACATGCAGTCATTACACAACTGAAATGGAACATACAGAGACAGGTGTTCCAAAATTTTGAGCCTCGGGGAATTGGTGGTTAATGCACTGACCTGTCAGTATGGAGGACTGTGATTGGATCCTCAGCAGCTGTTTGAAGGCTACCTGACTTCAGATCAATAGGTACCAACTTCTCTGGGAAGTATAGGTGGCATGTGTGCAGTGCTGACCACATTGTTACAATCATGCCATTGTTCATGAAATAGTGTAGCCAATACCTCTATGACTCCTCTTTCTCACAATGAACTGTTGTAAGAATGCTTTATTTGTATTCTAGAATTTCAGCTAAATTTTTTTTTTGACAAAATTATATTAATATAATCTACAATCAACATTTTCGAGTAAGTTATTGAGCATTCAATTTTTGCTTATTTTTAGAGTTATGAAAAATTTCTTTGATTCTGCGAAATTTATGCCGAAAGTATTATTCAGTATTGTGCAAATCAGCTTTTTATCACTTCAAACTATAATATCAAATCAAATTAAGAAAAAAGAAAACAGACAATTTTAAAAATATTATTGTTCCAAATCTGCTAGCTGTATAACTTTATTGATTTGAGTATTTGAGAACAAAAATCCATTAAAGCTCTAAAAGTTGTTGGAAAATATGTAACCACCTAATTCTGACTTAATTCACTTCTTGATATTTTGCTGGAAGAAGTAAAAATATCTCTTATACCAGCTTATAAGTTTGGGTAAGAAGTTTGGGTCTTATACCAGCTTATAAGTTTGGGTAGTGCTAGTTTTATCTAGAACGAAGATATATTATTTTTTAAAATAAAGCTTTCATCTTAAAGAAAAATTGAATAATTTAAATTTTAACTAAAAAATAAAATTTTTCATTAATTTAATTTTTATATTTATCAGAGTATTGTAACTAATTAGGCGAAAAATCCAATTGTAAATGTCTTATTTTGGGGCCAAGCTTCATTTCTTCAATAAATTAAGAAAAAATAAATTTATTTTTAAACCAAAGAAAATGTGAGATTCCTAAATTATTTAATTTGGGTCGTGTGTATTAAACTAAGAATTCCCTAATTAATTTTTGCCTACTTTGTGATATCTTAAAACTGGGTAATTTTTATTGGGGAAATTTTTAAATACAGATGATTTTTTTTTAATTCAGAGTACTATTTAAGAATGTTTTTGCAAAAAAAAAAAAAAAAAGTCTTAACATTTTATTATTTTGAGCTTCTGTTTTCTCCTGCTACAAATATTACTATTTTTGTTGTTACTAAACTTGCTAGTTGAAATATTGTCAAACAATCTTTTTAAATTTATTAAAAATATTATTCTTTTTTCAGATATTAGCATCTTTAGAGTCACTGGCACGTTCCCTTCCCAAGATTCATAGGAGTGCCTCAGAACCTACACTAAACCGTACTCACCTTCAATCTGAAGACTTCATGTACATGTGTGCCTCACCTAAAACTCCAATCAACAGTCAGTTTGGTGCATTTCCTTTCTTCTCCACTGGTAGCAACGTATGACTCTAGTGCTGGTTAAACAATACTGGTTTGTGATAAATTTTGGATCTATGACTCTATGTGGAGAATACAATCCTCCTGATTCCAACTTTTGTATTCATCCTGCTGACATTGCAAGTGGTTTTCCATGAAGACCACCCAATGGAATATATTTACAAGCCACTTGTGGAGAATACAATCCTCCTGATTCCAACTTTTGTATTCATCCTGTTGACAGTGCAGGTGCAGGTGGTTTTCCATAAAGACCACTCAAAGGAATATATTTACAAGCCGTTTCCCAATTCTCTTTACAGTTGAAACACTGTAAGCTTTTCCAATACTCTTATGTATTATAGAAAGCTTTGGTGTATTGGGAATTGATAATTCAAATTGAAGCACTCCGCCCAAAATAACGTTTGTAAGGATAGAAAGGCGTAAATTAAAGTTTTCTGTACTTGTAAAGCATTTTTCATCGTGTGATATGGCAGCACGTAATTTCCTCTGTAAATACAAATGGACAATTAGTCTTGTATACTTCCGTTGTATAAAGGCTGAGATATTGCTCTTTTTTTATTTATGTATGAATGTGTATTGAATTGAAGTATCTGTGTTATTTAATTTTGTGTGTTATTTAAAGTGTAAATTTTGAACACAAAATTAGTTGTCCTGGAAAATGTATGTGTGGAAAGTGTCTTGGTATTTATTTGTTCTTTTTTTTTTATTTTGTTATTTTGTGTGAATTAAAAATAAATTGAAATTAAATTGTTTTATTTAAGTATTGGTTTTTTATGACATTTTAAACTTAATTGTAAAATCTAAAGAAATTAAAGCAATCTTGTTTATGCTCAATTATGTGTCAAAAGATTCTTTAAAATTATTATATTTTTCAAATTGTTTTGTTAAAAGAAATGTCAGCATATTAAAATAAATAATAAAAAATTAAATCTCTCCAATTAGTTTTTTCATATTTTTAAAGAACACTTTTATGTTTGATAATGAATCCATCAAAATCTACAGTTCTTTTATTGTTTAAAGTTGAAAAGAATGCTCTAAGACCGTATAATAAATCTAGCCGAGTGGTGCGCAACCTGTTGTACAAGGTCCAAATGATTCCCTGACATAGTTAATGTGCTCTACCCCCACATCTTGCAATAAAATTGAAATATAAAAACCTATATGTCTAGCATAAAAAAAAATTATTATTTTTTCAAATCAAACTAATTTTAATAACTTTTTTATATTAAAAAATACGTTAAAAGTTCCAAAATGTAGGAGTATGAAATCAAAATGTTACAAAATCGATATCTTTCAACTTATCAATTTTACCTTGAAAGGAGATTTTATAGAATCAAAACAGATATAGTTCAGAGATTTATTTAAGATTTTATTTACAATAAAAATTTATAAACATTCTAACCTCAAACCATCATTCCTGCTTCTTTCGTTTCCCCGTATGTATTGTCTTTTATTTACGGTTCCTTCACAAATGCTATTTTTATAATTTTAGCAATACCCGTTCAGAAATTCTACTGATATTTTCCAAAAATATTGGAAGTTTATTTTGTTTGAGAAAATAAACAGAACTCTTGATGCTAATGAGGATGAAGAAAATCGGAAAATAAATTTGTTACAGTATGGGAAAAACACTTCAAACATTGTGTTTTATGTTTATGCATCATTTGATGAAAATGTTTAAACTTGTGGTATGTTAGGTTTAAGAAATGTTTGCAGAAGCTGAAGATTTTTTTGTGATGTTAAACTGATGGAAACAACATGCAATATGATATCGATGGAGGCACGGAACTTAACCAAAACCAATGCAAATATTTGCAGAAAGCTTGAAGCCTTTGAAGTAATAAGAAGCTTTCTGCATTCCTACAAACTTACAGGAAATGAACAGCAATCTTTTATTGTCGAAAATTCATTGTTTGTGCTAAGAAGAAATGAATATTCAAAACAAAATTTCCTTATATTTTAAATAAGTAAATGTGTTCTATTTATACTTCTTTTGCATTGTAAAAAATTTTGCTTTAAGTACATAAATTTTTTTTTTTGAATTTTTTTCACCAATTATAAATGTATTTATTTTCAAGTGCATTACTTCTGTATTGCTTTTAATCCATTTTCAAGACATTATGTGATATTTTAAGTTAATTCAACGTTTTTCCATATCTGTTGTTTGATAATAATAATTGCGCCCTTCAGAAACGATCAATCAAGATGTTCTACTATATATATACACACACACCGGTGTTTGAAATTAAGAGAATTTTTATGGTTGATTATCTCCAAGACTGACGCCCGGTGGCTGAGTGGTAGCGCTTCGTGCTCCCGTGCCACAGGTCCTGGTTCGATCCTCGGGCTGGGCAGGGTTGACTCAGCCTTTCATCCCTTCAGTGGGTCGATAAATGAGTACCAAGCATGCTTGGGAACTAAACACTGGGGGTTTCGCGTTCGGCTGACCACCTAACCGGAACATCTGCTTCTGCACCCCAGAGCCCAAGGTCAAGAAAACTGAGATGGGCACAGTAGGCCTTGGCCCTCTATGGGCTGTCGCGCCACTGAGTTTTATCTCCAAGACTACTTGACAGATTGTAATAAAATTTTGTTTAAACATAGGTTGATATAATACAAAAATAATAACCTTTCAACAGCTATAATATGCATGTATGATCATGAACTTTCATCAGATTCGGATGGTATCAAAAAGTGGTTGCAAAATTCAATAAAAAGAATGGTGTAATAGGGGGTATGGCCCCTTGTTCAAATATACAGGCCTTACACCATGATTTAATCATCGAAATAAGGTGGCAGTTTATGAGTTCCTGTGGCAGTGGGTCACACTTATTAAGAAACGCAGTTGTCAGACACAGAATATCTCTCAAAGGAGGATTATATGTTAATTACCTTCTTCAAAGCATGACAGACATACTCTATAGTGTTGAGGTCTGGAGATTTGGCTGGCCAATCCATCCGGCAAATGTCTTCATTTTCCAGAATATGGTCAACCAGAAACGCTCTGTGTGGTGTCGCATTTTATTAAAATGAAATTAAGACCCACTGCAACTCTGAAAAGACAAACATAGGACTCCAAGACCCCATCCATATACCTCTAACCAGTCACAGTACCTCTTTCAAAGACGTGGAGGAGTGTGCAAAAATCCAACATTGTGCGCCTGCCCAAACCTCGGCCGCCATAATGGTAAATTTTTTGATATTACACGACAAGTAGTGGATTCTCGGTTCTCTCCATTTGAAAGTACGTAGAGAGTCAGTGATCAAGCGGTATTTATCGGAACATTGACCCAGGCTCCAATTTCTGCATCTTAAACGGGCTCTTCTGTTTACAAAATTCAGCGGAATGCCAACAACAGATCTTGTAAACAGTCCTTGCTCACGAAGCCTTCTGTAAACAGTAACCTTTGAGTCATAAAACCTCCTGTGTGGTCGCATAGAGCTCACAAGAGAGCTGAAAAGTTGCAGCATCCCTGTTGCGCCTCTCTGTAATCGACAGATACCGATCTTCGTTGTGGCTCTTGGCCAGGATTTCTCTGGACAGATCCTGAGTTTTGAAATCCTAAATTGCACTCAACACTGGGTGTTAAATTAATTTCTCTACTAATCTGCATTGGAGAATGGCGAGTTTGTCAAATCAGTCACAAAATCTTTAAATTATGATTAAAAATTTCATACCAAACGAATTTAAATGCTATTTTCGACATTAATCGATAAAAAATGTGACATTATAGATAATTTAGATAAATAACAGTACCTATTTGCAGATACATGAACAAAGAAAAAGCTTATAATTAAGTATCAAAAATTTTCAAAGTTTCAGAAATTGTATCCTTAACTATAATTAAATTATGACTTATTATATCAGGTGATAAAATGGTATTAAACACTTAACAAATGTTCCACTTACGTATATTAGATATTTTTAAGAGATTTGTTGTGAAGATTAAATCCTTCTCTTTTGATATTTAGACGTCCTAGAAGGATTAACTTTAAACTGGGGCTCTAGTGCCGATTTCAAATAAATATAATTTTATGAATTTAATATTCAATTATTTCTTAATTTACTTATGTCGTAATTTAATTCGTGTTACGTAAGAAATATTTCTTATTTTTTACTTATATATCAAGTTATTAGAATTTTTTTTTAATGCAAAATTGGTGGCACCCTCAACAAACGTTGGGAACCGCTGATTTAGAGATTACATTTTATTTTCTAATCGTATTTTTTTAAAAAAATAGCTGACCCTATTTTTTTTAGTTTACGACTACTAATGTTCAACTCCGTAGCCTTGTAGTTTTGAACTCGATCCAGAACACAGGGGAACGATTGGAAGAAGTATTGGGAGAAATTTGCCTTCGCAGAGGACTGATGGAATTAATCTGCATTTGCGATACATGGAGAAGTAAACCTCCCCCGGTTAGCCAGACGGCAAGGGGACTCTATCCTATGATCCGTCTACCATTGAGGATATTTTTAAGTCAGTACTGTGGGCGGTGCTAGCCAGATCGTATCGAACAACCATCGCTGGAATTCGAACCCGTTTTATCTCATTCGAAGATGAACGCTCTATCCTCTAAGACGGCTCAGAAATTACATTAGTTTAAATATTATTTTGAAGTACTCAGAGTATGAAGGACTAGAATATTTTGAGTGCGCTACTAGAATAAAAATCATGCGATCATGGCGATATACGTCTGCTGTTCATACGCCCGTTAAAAATTATACTTATGGGTCGGATATTTTCCCTAATGTTGAACAATATAGTATCATTTTGTTCTTATTTGAGAAAAAAATAACTCCTAATTTCAGGTATGTATGGCAGTGTTTTCCAAAGTGTGGTACGCGTACCCCCAGGGGTACGGGAATAGTTTAACGGGGGTACGCGTTCTTATGCGAAATATCTTGCAACAAATTAAATTTTTTTTATTTAAAAGCAAAGCTAGCCGCGAAAATTTACAATTACGTATTTTTCTATTGGCTATTTTTTGCAGATTTTACAGTTAATAATTAGTGGTGTCAACAGCCAGTCGTGATTTTTAACTTTTGTGGAAATTTTTATAGTAAAAAATACATTCATTTTTCATTAGTGGTACACAGCTTTTCGAAAAATTTTGAAAGGGTACACAAAAGTGATATGTTTGGGAAACACTGATGTATGGTATTAAAGGCTAATGATGCTTAAATAACTTTATTATTTCTTTTTATCAAAGTGTCCCCGTTGAATATTTCAGTAAAATCGAAACATCTGTCGATAGTAATACAATTATGTTCTCCCGACGTGAAATATTTACTAGACTTGGCAGACTTAGGAGAAAGTCCTCAATTTCGGGAGATTTCCAGAAAAGAGTAATTTTCAATCCGCGTTCTTCTACTCCTTCTATGATGAGATATTTAGTAGATAAGAAGGCGTATTCCTAGGAATGGAGCCACACCCAGATGTTCATCACTTTCTGTATATTTTATGACCAGATGATTGGATGTCGCACAATGTCTCCGATTGAGATATTTTATCCAGTTGATTGATTTTAAACACGAAAAACGAAACTTTTTTTTTCTTCTTAATCAAATCGCATTTTAGTTTTAGAAGTGATGAAAGAAAGACGTCGATGACACGTAAAACAAAGGTATGTGTTTTGAACAGATTTAGATGCATCGTGTCGAAGATAACGAGTTTTGACATATTTAAAATTGTGTAGTTTAATTGACAAAATCCGAAATTTGCACTGCAGCGGTTGAATAGTTTCTGAGGAATGAAAATTTAAGAATTCGATTTTTTTTTCAATTCTATTACGCGATATCTAATTGGTCGATTCAGGTCAAAATATAGATTTTGTCATTCAGAATTACATAAATTTCAATGATGTAAAATTTTATGCAGCTTAAAACTTAATTTTTCGATTAGAATTTAAAAAAAAAAAAAAAATTAGAAAATTATGTAAAATAGGAAACAAATCTTAAACATGAAAAGCATTTTTTTTTAAAAAATTGTTTAATACAATTTTTAAAAAATGCAAAAATTAATATTTAGATGAAGCGGACCAAGCTTTTTGACCGCTTTCCTGACAAAACTATTAGGACCATACTTTCCAGATTGCGACTATCTCTCCTTATTTTAAAGATTTTGTATCCGAATATGTAGAAGAAAAGTAAAATACATTTATTTAGAGAAATAACGCTTTTGTATCTGATATTTTAATTTAAATTATCATCTACTCTTAATTAGCGTAATGTGATCTCTTCGAATAATTAAGATTGCTTATTTAGTACACGATAGTACGTTCTTTAGCTTAAAAGTTATAAAAATGTTCTCTCATTTTTTTCTTCTCATAGTACAAAGTGTTTCATGCATAGCAAATTTATCAGAATCTGGTAAATTCTTTTAAAATAGCAATATGAGTAGTTTTGAAAAATGTAATCAAATTTGATGTCTGTACTTTTCTTATGCACGCGTTTTGAGCTGCGTTTATTTTTTCAAACATGCATGCATTTGAGTTGCGCCCAGAGCCGGATTATACCTTTTGTAGGCTCTAGGCACAGCCGTTTTTGGGCCCTCCCCTCCTTCCCCCACTCCTCCCCTCTTTTCAAAATATATGCTAAAATTTTCTTGCATATTTTTTTTTTTTGCATTTTTATTAATATGGATTTTAATTTACAAATTTGTTTATCGAACTTTATCTGGAATTCTACAGCATAATACAAGATTTCGTTGAATCCAAAAAAGTAATATATTAGATCATAAGATTTTGCAAAATAATTTATTACCGAAAAATATTATATTTTTATTTGTATCTTCATAATTTTGTGCAAAATACACCTGCTGTTTTTAAAGCTAAATTATTTTTGTCAACAAATTCTTTTCTCCCAAGTTTTTCGTAGGCCCCTGAATTTCGTAGGCCCTAGGCACGTGCCTAGTGTGCCTATAGGTTAATCCGGCCCTGGTTGTGCCTATTTTCAAAGATTGATGTTCTTGAAACATTTTGCAATTTTTTTAAATTTCCTTTACAGCAAAAAAATATGTGTTGCTCAACTGTAAAATGTTTTATTCTAATATCTACCACAGCAGTTTAAAAAAAAAATTGTGTAGTTTTGTGTTTTTTGAGCGAAATGAAGAAAAATTCACATTATGAATAATTTGCTTCTCCCAGATAAATTTAAAAATATCATATTTGAGTTACCGTTCTTTCTTTTTCCTTTTAAGAATATAGCAAAATAGGAACACTGTCGTCTATGGGGTAGAATCTTTGCAACTCAACTTAAACTACTGTTTAGTCTTAACAACTTAACTCAATAGTGCTGTTTAGGCTATGGAATAAATATTTCCTTAAAATAGTAATTTTTATGTTGGGTTGAAATAACTATGAATTTACTATGCAAAAAATGTAAAAAATAAAATATTTTTCCCACCAGTTTTTCCATTATAACAAGATTATTTTTGGTTATAAAATGTTCCATGTTCCAAATCATTATTAAATTAGAAAATAATTAATATTTATGCCTAGTTTCTCTGTCTTTTATTGTTTCCACTAAGCATGTAACATACAGTAAAAGTCTATCTTTTATATCATATGATTACATTTATCTGAATTAAAATTTTTAAAGAGTATGTTTAAGTTAACCGCTTTCCTGATAACCTCAAATTCATTTGTTTTATATCGCTTTGACTAGGCACGGCGAAAGAAATTTTGTATGCGTTTTTTTTTTTTTNTTTTTTTTTTTTTTTTTTTACCGCATCGGCGCATCGCATTTGGAGGGGAACACGTGTGATGAGTTTTTCGCGGGTAAATATTTTCCGCCAATCCGGTTTAAGCCATGATGGCTCTGGGGATAGAGCGTTCGCCTTCCAATGAGGTGAACAGGGCTCGAATCCCACCGATGGTTGGTCCGTAGCCTTGTAATTTCAAAATTACAAGGCTACGGAGTTGAACATTAGTAGTCGTAAACCCGAAAAATTGGGTCAGCTGTTCAACGACGGCTATTAAATAAAATAAAAAAAATAATAAAAAAACAAAAAAAACAATCCAGTTCTTATTTGCTTGCGGAAAAACGCATTGTGAATGGTCCTTCAATTGCCAGTTTGTAAAGTTTTGCATGATAGATTTCGCTCCACAAAAGTTAAAAACTCAACGCTTTATGACTGGAAAAGTTTCATATTTTAGTATAAAGCCACATGAGCAATTGCGGTCATTGAATATTTAATAGTCATAGTCATAACATTGGTGCTCAAAAAAGAGTGGTTGCTTTAAAAAAATGAATAAATAAAACGTTTATAAGCAAAGTATATTTGTATGTATTCCTTATGTTAAGTGTATTCCTAAGTGTAATTAAAATATATATATTACATTCTTATCTTTAAAAATGGAATTAAAAACGTTGTGTTGACTACTTTTACCTACTTGAGGTCAAAATTTCTGCTCTAAAGGGTCAATATGGTGACTTTTTGCAGTTTAAAAAAATTTAAATTGAAAGCGTTTTATTAGTTTCTTTTCTGTACATTATACACAATTAGAGTCACGATAGCTGAAGGGATCACTTTCTAATGAGTGATCAAGGTTCGAATCCCATCGTGGCTGGTTGATACGAATTCTGCTCTTAGCTCGCATATCCAACAGTGATGATGTAAGGTATCTTAAGTGGAAAGAGATCATGAGTTACCTTGTCGTGGGGCTAATTGTGGGAAGCTTCTTGGTTTTCCTCTCCATGAAACGCAAAGTTAGTTCCATAAAAATTATCCTCCATGAAGTCAACGTTGTCCCAATGCTTGATCCAGGAGTTATTGCCTTTTGGGTGGGTTCAAAATTACATGTCTACGGTGGTGAACATCGACAGCCGTAAACTCAGATTTGGGTATTCAACGCCAGTTATAAAAATTTATTTATATATATATATTATTTATTTATTGTACCTTTTTCAGGTTATGCATGGAGGAATTTGGGCTATCTTCCTTTTACCAGGTTAGTTACTTATTTTTTTTTTCTATCGCAGGATTGCGACAAACAGATTAAAAATAAAAATAAATGATATTCAAATGATTTAATTTTTATTTCTTTATGGAGGGATAGCAATGCTTTGATTAGTACATACCCTCCATCATTTGGTATTCTTAATAATAATTTTTTCCAGTGGCAGAATTTTTTAACGAGCATTTTTAAAACAAACTGAATTTTTATCAAATTTTTCGCTAACTTAAGAATTTGGTAATTAGTCAATTAGATATTTTCTGTATGGCCGGCATAGCCTAGTTAGTAGGGCGCTGGGCCCATGTACAAGGCAAGGGGTCGTGAGTTCGATCCCCACAGGCTGAAAACTCCCCGTGTAGTAAATGGTGACTGGTGCACGTTAAATCTGCCGGGTTACCGTGTTCCCATGAAAAATCATACCACTGGTGGTTCGGAATTGGAGATTGATTCAGGTTCAGGTCAAAATTACAGTCAAAATTATTGCTGGTTCAGGTCAAAATTATAATCTGTGGATGAATGAATGGATGTATGAATGGGTCCGCCCAATAAATGGGCTGTGACTTAAGTTTGGCTGAAATCGTATTCTTGGCCATTGATGGCGTCACTGAAAAACAAGAAACGCACCATCTGCCTTAAATTCGCTTCGTCTCACCTAGCAGACTTGCCAGTATTTGCAAGTGGCATTAGAAACAACAACAAGATATATGCGTTTAAATTATTTATGTGCTCTGGTGGACAAATTGTTTTTTGTTTTAATTTTTTAAAATAATAATGCATTTCTTTTGCTACCCCTTTGAATAATGTTTTCTCAAACTTCTGAAATTCAGTTGCAGTCTGAGGATATGCTTAGTATTTTAGTCCTGGCACTACTTAGTCAAAGTCTGGTCAAGCGGGTTCAAATCCCAGTTATGGCATCATGTTGTTAGAGTCCCCTTGTCATTAGTCAACCCGTGGGAGGTTTTCGCGGTTTTCTTCTCCATGTAACGCAAATGTGTGTTAGTTCTATCAAAAAGTCCTGTACGAAGGCAAATTTCTCCCAATACTTGATCCAAGAGTTCCCTTGTCTTCTGGATTGGGTTTAAAATTTCAAGGCTACGGAGTTGAGCATTAATAGACGGTATCCAAAATTGGGTCAGCTGTTCAACGACGGTTATAAAATAAAATAAAATAACTATAATAATAATGGAAATAAAATAATTAAAAAAGTTCTGAAAACTGCTACTATTACCTAGAACACAAAATATATAATGAGGACAACTTTAAAGTTGTCGTGGTTTTCCTTCTGTTCTTAAAGTTCTGTTAAAATATTATTTGTGATTTTAAAATCACAAATAATTAACTAAGAAGCTGAACGCATTTCACTGCAGCTTCATCGCCAGGAAAACAGAGCGACTGGGGCCCCCATTAGGGGGGAAGTAGCACGATGCGCCCACTTAAAGCTTGGGTGGGGGAATTTTTATACTAAATAAAATGAATAGTTTGGGGGGAAATTCAGACAGAGAATTTTTTTTTTTACGTACATATTTGCAACAAACGCATTATTTGCTTTGGTTACTTTTGTACATTGTTTATGAATGAGACTTACATATGCTTAAAAGTTTTTTACAGTTTGAAAAATTAAAAACAATAAATATAAACTTATTAAAACTTATTATTTTGTTTATTAAAAATGTCGTTTGCAGTGAATCAATAAATCTTGAATTTTTTTATTGTTAAAAAATTATTTTTTTTTAAAATGGGTAATGAAAATTTGTTTTTAAAAATATGTTTACATTCTTAACGTTATAAAGAACCATTTGCATAATTTTTTTGTTAAAAAACGGCGATCGACAGGGCTAAAAGTGACATTTGCCTGAAAGGGTTAATTGTGCTAAAATTCCCAACTCTTGTGATGATTGCTGCTTGCCATTTGCTGCATTGTTTGGTAACTTCAATAAACTTATTTTTTTTTAATTATTAGTTTAAACTTCCGAGCTCATTAATCTATAGGTGCCATCAGTAACTTATCAATTTGGATCCTTTTTCTGTCCTCTACGTAAAACTGTGTGAACTGAAGTGGAAATTAATGCTTGTTTAAACTCCTTATTGGCTTCAAAATATATGTAGATGTTTATTCACATCTGGCAAGTCTTGAGAATGCACGCCTATTTTTGAACGCTTGAAACAAGTCGACTTTTATTACCATCTTCATATTTTTTTTTTTTAAGTGAAAGAAATTTTTAATCAAGTATGTGTGCAATTCTTTTTTAACAAAATATGCTTGATCAACATCTCTTAGAAGAAAGAATGCCTTCGTCCTGGTTATCATAAACGAGAAGTCAGATCCTTTAGTAGTCCGAACATTGTGACTTATTTCTTATTTTCTCCACTACTCAGTTTATGTTCATTCCTTCGGACAACTAAAGTGATCTGTGCGAAGGCCTTCTCTCTTCTTGGAGGTGTTGGCTTGGTTCGAATATCAAAACCAAAATGGATTACCACTTACAGTTTTTGTAGTTTGAAAGTTGACAAACCTCTAATAAATTTTTGAATATCTCGCATTCTAATACATTTTAAACCTGGAAACTTCGAGGAGGTAGACTTTGTCACCAAACATTTTGCCAAAGTCGCCAAGAAAATCAGAATGTTTGGCAAGTTGACGACGGTCCCACTGACAATAAGAACATTGAGTTTTTAAAATGTGCTGTTGAAAACATTAAGGAGCTAAGTTAAAATGCGGAATTTTAAGAAAATAGTAGTTGTAAGCAAAAAATAATTACAGATTTGTTGTTTTCAGCCAAAAATATACAAGAAACACATATTTTTGTGGAAAGGATAATGTATCACGTTGTTCAGTGGGGCTTCAACCTTGTCCTCCTTTTACATTCTTTTTTCTAATCAGCTAAAAAAGTATAACTCAGTACTTTTTCATTCATTATTAGTAATAATACTTATTTGTTAGTAATTATTAAATTAATAATGTGAGCTTGTAAAGTGAATCTTCCCTATGAAATAATGTATTTACTAGATTGTATGTTTACTTTCATTTCCAGTTGCTTTTTGTCTGAGAATCATTAACTATCACATACCATATAGTTATCCAGTGAATCACGACGTTTCAATGATGTGTGAGTATGATTTAGAAGGAGATGCTTTGTATGCCATTAAATGGTTTCACGAAAATCAAGAATTCTACAGGTTTTGCCCAGAAGAGATACCTAGCACGATGTTCTTTCCAACCAATGATATTAGACTAGATGTAAGTTATAACATTATATTTCGTTAACCGTAGTCATTGCAAAAGCTCTTATTGCAGTTTCTATAACTATTTTATTTGTTTATACAATGAATTTCCCATTTCTGAACAACCGAAATCGAATTTGAAAATGCTGAATTGGCTATTAGATAAACCTCCTTTGACACAGTGGTTAAAGCACTGAGTTGTAATTGTAATGGACCGGAGTTCTATTCCCGGTAGTGATTAGAAGCCTACTTAAGCAATGGTACCTACTGCTCTATGAAGTAGAGGAGACGGTAATATTGTTCTCATTGCCACTAACATGATTTTATAGTCTCGAAATTGTTGATGCTTATTCTCCATTATCGACTTGGCTGACCGTTGCGGGACTTCTTTAGTTTTAAAGTAAATATCGGATATGGATGTATCGTGAGAAAATTACTAAAACTTGATAAATTTAAAACACCTGTTTTGAACATACTGTTTCGCCTCATTTTAAGAATCGTTTAATTCTAACAGCTACAACTGTGTACCATATACTGTTTGTTGCAGTTATGTACGAGTAATTAAAACATTTTTTAGCCATAATAATCTAACCTGTCATTAAAAAAGTAAATATAATTCGAAATAAAAAAAACTTGAGCTATCTGTATAGAGTGATCTCTATTATTCTTAAAAAACAAAATTTTTATCACATAACCTTATGAAACTGAACTGAATTAAACTGAAATTGTTTTGTTTTTTTGTTTCCTGTTGTAATGGGATTTTTAAACGGATTCTTTTAATGCTTCACATCACTGATTTCAAAACTGCAATTTGCTACTCTCTCTAAGCTACAGTTTTTTTTTTAATGACATTTTTCAGACTATTTTTGCCGAAGTCTACAAGTTTAAAAACGTTATAAGTGACAGGGGATCCACTTAATTTTGCGACAAACTTCCACGGAAGTTAGGGCACATCATCAGGATTAAAATTACATAAGAACCTATGCCCGAAAATGTCGTCATGTACCACTAGGGACGCTCCTTTAAGATGAAATATTTCTCCGTGTGCTTATGAAGAAGTCATAACAAAAAAGCGCCCCTAGTTCCGTACAACGATATTTCCGGGTAAGGGTTCCTATGCAGCTTTAATACTGATGATGTACCCTAACTTTGTAAAGTTTACCATAACCCTTAACTGTTATATATAGCATTTTTAAGCTTGTGCGTTTCGAAAAAAAATTGACCAAAAATAAAAAAAGTCTGTAGCTCTATGGGAGAAAAACTAATTTCATGCTTGAAATGCCTGCACCAAAATTAGGCAAGATCTAGAATTTGTATAAATGCAACCAAAAATTTGCTCCCTAGTGTTATTACGAAAATATTATTTCTTTCTTCTTGAATTTCATTTTATTATTATTTATTTATTAATGTTTTTATAGATCAGCCGCACAACGAACACATCTGTTGTTTTGAAGCGACTCAAACGAACAAATGCCGGCAAATATCGATGTGAAGTGTCGGCCGACGCACCTCATTTCAAGACTGCATCCGTTGAATCGTTTTTGATTGTTGGAGGTAAATATGACAAATTACTGTCTCCACAACCGCACAGGATATTCCGAAATTTCTGCCTTTAATTTTAGTATTCTTCTTCAACAAAAAAGTTGAAGAAATATACACATTAGCGTTCATAAATTACTATTTAAGCTGGGAAAAAAAAGACTAATATTATCAAAACTTTACAAATCTTTAGCGAGAATGGTGTGATTAAGAACATCTAACATCATTTACTGATGGCTTGGGAAGGGAATTTGTTTGAAATAGATTTATATATTATCCTGCAATCAAACCGACTTTTATCTTTGCGGAATGTAATTACATTCCGCAATAGTGATTCATCTAGTATCGTGACATAATTTTTGATTTTACTCGTCTAAATATAAGTGTTGTAACTGTGGTTCAAAAATACTAAAATTAAAATTAGCAACTTTTATTTTTTAAGAAAATAGCGATATGAACAATATTAGACCAGACAACTTCACTCGTTGCCGGTCAGAACAAAATTTACTGCTCTTAAAAAAGATGTAATTATAAAAAAGAAACGAGATGGCAGCGCCATCTCTGAATTAACGAAAATAATAAATTCAAATGGATTCTGAATTAACACAAATAATAAATTATATTAACAAAATTATAAATTTTAATATCGCAATAAGGGGGCTTAAAGCAATAAGAAAAAATTAACTAACTTTTGTTTTTATAAATTTCAGTGATATTATTCATTTCTTTAAGAATTTAAACTCTTCCTACATGGGTTTGAACCTGCACAGATGATAATTTGAACAGAGCCGTGTATGAACAACCGGAGTCGGGCAAATTTCTCTCGACTCCGGTTAGCTAAAAGTTAAATCCCATAGGTGAAAAATGAAGATGTTCTTGATTCTATAAAAATTTAGACAAATATTTATAACGAAGTGAACAAAGAATTAATCACGAAAATATTTGACAATTATTTATGATGACAATAATTTATGATGACAATAACCAAAAACGGCTGTGCCTAGGGCCTACGAAAGGTATAATCCGGCTCTGCATGTAACTTTTCACCAACTAAAAAGATTCCGTAGTTTCAAAAAATATTTTTCTTACTGGTCACAAATGATATACATGATATTTGAATACATTAGAATTTAAAAAATTCACATTTGCTTCAGTTTAGTTCGTCATAAGGATATTGTCCACCACTACATTGAAAAAAAATCAAAATACATAGAAAATACATTTTTTACCTAGTTATAGTACTTTTCAACAACTAAAACATTTCCGTAGTTTCAAAAAATGTTTTTCTTATTCGTCACAAATGATATGCATAATATTTTAATACATTAGAATTAAAAAAAAATCACATTCGCTTCAGTTTGTTACGTCATAAAGATACTGTCCATCGCTACATTACAAAAAATCAAAATACATTTTTACCTAGTTATGTTGTACTCTCCAACATCTAAAAACTTTCCATAGTTTCAAAAAATATTTCTTCCATTGGTAACATATGATATGCATAAAATTTAGTACATTAGAATTAAAAATAATTCTGTTCTCTACTACAGATAAATAATTTAAATAGATCTAGAAAAGTTCAGAGTAAAAGAAAAAGTGTTATAAAATTCTATTTGTTTTAAAATTTTCTGCTTTATTTCGTTCCCATTTGAAAGACTATTATTCCCTAATATTGAATTTGATCCAATTATCTTGTGGTGAGGTTTTTGATATATTTTCAGAATTAATAAAATTATTCTGAATATTTTCCGAATCTGATTTAAAATTATTCAGAATTAATAATATTATTCTGAATATTCTGAATAATTTGATATATTTTCTGAATTCTGCAAAATTTTCCGTTTAATTTATTATTACTTTATAAATCTTTTGGTCAAAGCGCAGCAGTTGGTATCCTTTCATAAAAAAATGTCTTAAATTTTTTAAAAATTGTTTCTGTTATAGCTCAGCAATTTTAATTTATGTGTATATTTTTTATTTTAGATTTTTTTAATGGACAAGAGATGACAGTTTTCACGTTCTCTACACTCTTTCTATTACCTACTATACTTTATATGATAAAATAAAATTTTTGATTGGTTTCCATTTTATTGAACAATTATTATTTCAGTGTATTTTATTATTAGCCCTTCATGGATCACGTAATTTGAATTTCCATTTAAGTAATTGTAACCATTTAAATCCAAATATTTAAAACCAATACGTAAGAGCAAAATATCCAATCATTTTTCGACAAGAAACAGTTTTAGAAACCAGATTGTTTTTGAAGCGTATGTAACTACGAAGTTCTCAAATATATTCAAAAATCTCAGAGTATTAATTATATTGTAGGGCTCAAAAATTTTAAAAATAGCTCATTTTTTTTCAAAAGTAAACACTATTTCGCTAACAGTTAAAGGCACAAAAAGGGCTAAAATTGCTTAAAACTACTTGTAGCAGCGAAGCAGATGTTTACTATTGTGATTTAACAAATTCATAGATTTATGACTGGGGAACTGAATGTAAACAATAACAAGATCCTAAAAACCGGAGGAAACTAAAAACTTCAGATGTATCCCTCCGCTTAACATTATATCTAGGAGGTCATGTGTGAACAGGCTTAATATTTTCGGAATTTTTTTTATTGTGATTTGTTTTTAGTTTTACGCGTAAAATTTAAATTCACAAGAATTTTCTATAATTAATGAACTCTAAAATATCGCAAACCTTAAATAAATTTAGAAAAATTAATTTCACGGCATAACTAAAGCGTAAGGTTTGCCATGTTTTGAGTATTATCCTTTATTCGGCTATATTTGTGTAAACTATCGCCAATTGTTATTTTTGGGTAATTGAGGCAGATTGAGATGCTGCTTTATATTCTAAACACTACAAGCATAAAAATACAATATTTCGCGCTTTCTTTGACCGATCCCTAATGATTTACACTGTCGATAAAATCTGAATACTTAAAATGGGAAATGCTTATTCTAAACTCTTGCGCATTCAAACCATGCGATAATTATTTTTAATTTCGAAAACACCAATGCTAGCGTACTTTGGATATTACCAGTAGTTTGTGCGCAATCGAGGACGAGTTGGTGTGTGTTTCTTGCCGTTGTGTACGATGCAGAAAAAAACGTTCGCCGTTGAAATATGTATGTTTTCAGTAGTGTAATAAAAATAATTATATTTTAATTTTCAAATGTTTATTAAAACGATTTTATAATGTATAATTTTTATCTGCGCCCTTTGTGTTAAGCCTAGTTCGAATTTGTCTTAACATTCTCTTTGTACTACGCGTATGTTTAATTTACAAACTAACGTTGTTTTTAGAATTAGTGTATAAATGCATTCTAAACTAAAGATTTTTGCTTTAAATTGCAGCTTAAAAATAACTTTTACGTATTTCTTATCTTATTGTCACTACAAACTTTAGTTTCACGGTATGATTAAAATGGAGGCGGCTATTTTACATCAAGTAGTGTAAAAAACATCCATGTTTCTTGGTGAAGGGAAACACCTAGATCCATATGGCTCTTTTCTCTACACTGAAAATAAAAGTAGTTGCCACTACTTTTGGTGTTGTGAAGAACTAAAATTTTTACAGTGCATCTAGTCAGATTTTTTATTAATTTTTTTCCTGATATAGTCTTTTTTAATTGCTCATTAATTTTCTGTGTATTTGTTAATTGACAACTTATATTTTCGTGTGCATTAGAATCAATTTAATAGCTTCTTTGCAAATATATTTCGTTTGAAAAACAAGCACATTTTTAGTAACATTTTCGCACTAATTCTTTCAAATAGTTGTTATTTTGCCAAATTTACATTTTTTATTTTTTATTTTTTTGCGTGATTACTGCAGTTCGATACTTATAAAGGTATTTGTAACAGTTTTATTTTTGAGAATGTATTTGCAAAAGTTTTATATTTCAGTTACAAATACATTTTTAAGTACCAAACTGTAGTTAGAGCTAAAAAAATTGTTTGCTTGTTTTTAATTGTTTGTTTTTTAAATACTGCTTTTTAAAAGATAAATTTTTGCTATGAAGCTATTAAATTGATTCAAATGTGTATGAAAACATACGTTGTCAATAAACAAACACACAAAAGATGAATGAGTAATTAAAAAAATATAACATTGAAAATCTGAAAAATGTGACTACTTGCACTGTAAAATTTTAATGTATCTCAATATCGAAAATGGTGGCAACTACTTTCTTTACAGTCTCTGAGCATTTCTCATGGAGAATTGTGAGTTCAACTGAAAGTTTGTGAATTCAAGAAGAATAAATTAAAGTTTTGAAGTAGTCACTGACTATAAGAATGTAGGAGTCACTGAAACTGCCGGGGTGGAGGCGTAGAATTTTGAATCGATACAGATCTCTGTGTGCAAAAATCGCACAGGAGGATAAGTTAATGTGGATTAAAATTTGATCGAAGTGCGGAGAGTGCAGTCTTGTAGCTTGGGCAATCTGCAGCATAAGCTGGGTGATGGGGATTATGTGAAGTACCAAACTACGTATTAGAGTGCCAGCAGTTGATGCAGTGATGGGTGTTTGAATTGCATTTGCTGGAGTGATGTTGGCTACCACAGGTCACGCATGTTGCGAATTCCTGTTGACATTGATGAGTCTGGTGGTCAAGACCTTGACACCATGAACATCTCCTGAGGATTAATCTTTTCTTAAATATGCACTTATTCAGTCCTATGAAGATGAATCTAGCCGAAAGGAGATTAGTTGCGAGTCTATGGGAGACGTTGACTATGATGTGGTGTTTGTCTGTAGCTCTTTTATGAGGTATGGATTTGACGTATTTTATGACGTTATTGTTGCTGGGTGTGTCACAGTTTCTTTGGAGAATATTAGCGATGTCTGTGCCATCGAAGTGAGCTGGTGCATTAAGTATAATGAGCGGAGTAAGGCGTTGCTCTTTATCTTTGAAGTGGAGTTTGTTTTCAATGCTTTTTGTCAAATTGACCTTATCATCTTGTGTATGGAATTTTATTTCAACGAGATTCTTCGTTTTGTATACTTTTTTCACAAGTGGTTTTGGATTAGATTTGTTTATGATATTTATTATGTCGTCA